CTGACTCATTAAGACTACATTTGGGTGGGGGGGAGGTTGAAACTGCAGTTAGATTAGGTATTAAGCCCCCATTTGGGGAGTTGGCCCACGGACACCCTTTTGGGCCTGTGGTTTTTCTTTTTAATGAAGTCTTCAAACATTAAAATCATTCCTGCTAATGCAAACTTTAAGAAAGAAGGTCAATGCCAGAGTATATCAAACTCATTACAATAGGATATTTAAGTCGTTCCTGAAACAAGCTTATAAGCACTTTACTTAACATTTGCAAACTCGATAGTGGTGTCCCGAAGCCAGACTCTGGGAAAAGCAGTATGTCACTTCTGGTCAGTAGTGTGACGATCAAGCAAGGGATTTTTCCAGAAGAGTCCCAGAATATTTGGGACCCCGCCTCCCTGTCCCCTTCTCCTTCTGGACTTGTACCCAGAGGGGCACCCACTGGGCAAACCCCAAACTTTACATTGGAAGCAGACATAGCGAAGGCAGTCTGAGGAAAAACCCTAGAGATAGTGGACCGGTGTTCCCCTTCTCTTTGCCTGTCTTCCTCCTTCCCACACCCCTGGGTCCCCACAGTCCACTCAGGAGTCTCTTGAGATCCCATCCACTTATGTCTCAGGGGTTGGCGGATGGGGCTTTCCAAGGGACCTTTCCTATAATTCTAGTCCCATATAGAGTCACCAGGATCCAAAACTGATTTGAAAAGTCCTACATGTTAGTTCTTGTATGGTAAAATAAAAAGAAAAATTGGCATCTAAATTTTTTTTTGTCACTGACTTAAAAAGAAGATTTTAATCATTTTTAAATGTACAGTTCAGTGGCATTAAGTGTACTCACATTGCTGTGCACCCATCTCCAGCATCGTCCACAGAACTGCTTTCATCTTGTAAAACCGAAACTCTCTACTCATTAAACACAAATTCCCTGTTCCCCTCTCTCTACCCTCAAGCCCAGGCAACTACCCTTTTACTTTTGGTCTCTATGAATTTGGCTGCTCTAAGTACTTCATATGAATGAAATCACACAATATATGTTCCTATAAAAAGTGGCCTATTTCACTTAGGGTAGTGTCCTCAAGATTCATTGATATTGAGGCAGAAGTCAGAATTTTCTTCCTTTTTAAGTCCAAACAATATTCCATTATGTGAATATACGACATTGTGTTTCTCCATGGACCTTTGGATCGTCTCAACCCTTTAGCTATTGTGAATAATGATGCCATTAACTTGGTGTACAAGTTGTCCTTGAATGTTTCAATTGCGCAGCAAGATACATTAAAGAAAGACTTCAAAATTTCTTAATTCTGGTGATGGAGACTGCATCAAATTAGCAATTCTAGAACTACCAGAAACTTCTTCCCTGCACTTCCAAAGAGTAGAATAATTTGTCATGGAAGGGGTGTCTTTAAGAAGCTCTCTTCATCTTCTATGCCTGTTTGAGGTCCCTCAAAAACACTTCAGGTATTGGTTGGTTATCTCAATATTTTAGCTGGAATTTAAGCATTTTGTCTAACTATACAAAGGCCCTCTGATGAGTAATTTACTATAAGAACCTTTTTAAAAAATGTTTAAAAATGATTTTTTTAGGGGTGCCTGGCTGGCTCAGTCGGTAGAGCATGTGACGCTCCCTCTTGGGGGTGAGTTTGAGCCCCATGTTGGATGTAGAGATTACATAAAGATAAAATCTTTTTTTTAATAAAAATAAAATCTTTTTTTAAAGTGTGGAAACTGACAGTGTTTTGGAGAGCCAGGTAATTGGTATTTGGGAAGCCTGAAGCCTGAAGGAGTTGATGGTGGTGAGCAGTATGTACACAGATGAGCAAAAGAAAATGCTCATCTTTTCAATAATTTCTACATAGTGGTTCTCAATTAAATCTTAAAACATTATAAAATCTGTGCATTATATTAATATGCACAAATAATAACTTGAAGTGTACATATAATTTAAAAATTTTTAAATGGTATGTATTTTTATTTTTTTTTACCCTCCCTCCTATCTCTTTTGGTGGATATTTTTGTGGAGATAAAATGGCAAATGTAATCCAATACATTCCTCAAAGCTATCTGGTTTGTTGATGTCACCCTTTCTTGTTTGAAAGCATTGTTGCATATTTAATTGTGTGTGTGTGTGTGTGTATGTGTGTGTGTGTGTGTGTGTGTGTTATCTTTGGCCTCTTTACCGGCGTTTGGTAAATGAGGGAGAGAGAACTTACAGGTCTTACAGTGCCATCTTGAAACCAAAAGTCAAAAGGTTTTTGATGAAGGTGTTAAAATCTAGATATAGACAAAAAGAGCTCTCTCTAAATTATCTTTAAGAAGGTGTTGCATATTGGCCACGTTCTCTTAAAAGCAGAATAGTTTTCTTAAGTATTTTCTCAGCAAGAATCCACTGCTGCAAATTGAATGCTAGTTTAATACTCTTTTAATTCTAGTGACACATATCGATCAGAAGATTATTTTTCATTTTGTGATTCCATGAACTCACCATTGGGTAAGAAGTAATTCTTTTTACCAAAAAAAAAAAAAAAATGTTTGAAAACAACAAAATGACCCAATAAAATAACTGATGAGAGCCACAAATCTAATGTGGAATATGAATAACATGGATTGTGCTAATATAAACTTTTAAAAAATATTAAAAACACGAATCACATAAATATAAAAAGGAAACCTAAGATTTTATTTAACTAATTAACTCTTACCCATTTCCAAGTTTTGGAATATTTTTCCTGATATCAATTAAAAATATATGTATATATACACACACATATACACAAATAGATTTAATTGTATTTATTTACTCTGCAGAGAAGAAGTATAGGTTGGTTTAAAAAGGTCATAAATGGGGGCACCTGGGTGGCTCAGTCGGTTAAGCATCCGACTTCGGCTGAGGTCATGAGGTCATGATCTTGCGGTTCGAGGGTTCGAGTCCAGCATCAGGCTCTGTGCTGACAGCTAGCTCAGAGCCTGGAGCCTGTTTCAGATTCTGTGTCTCCCTCTCTCTCTGCCACCTCCTCTGCTCACATTCTCTCTCTCAGAAATTAATAAAAAATTTTTAAAAAGGTCATAAATGAATGCATCTTTGTTGAAACAATTACATGATTTCAAAAATCTTTTTAAATGTTTATTTATTTTTGAGAGACAGAGAGTGAGGAGGGGAGGGGCAGAGAGAGAGGAAGACACAAAATCTGAAACAGGCTCCAGGCTCCAAGCTGTCAGCTCAGGGCCTGATGCGCGGCTCCAACTCACGAACCCACAAGGTCATGACCTGAGCCCAAGTTGGCCCTTAACCGACTGTGCCATCAGGCGCCCCAAAACAATTACATAAGTTCAAAGTTCCTGAGGAGCTGACCTTAACAAAAATGTTGCCTAAAATTATAGAGGACTGACCACAGTACCCCCACTGCCCATCTACTACTGCCCAAAGCACGCACTTATCTTTGCTGCACAAAAAAATAACTAGCAAGAAAGTCTGCTGCAAAAGAGCCTCGCAGTTTATTTTTAACTTCTTCTTTGTAAGGCTACACAACAACTTTGGCCCTTATATGGGTGTGCTCATGGGTGGTTAGATTTAGAGCAGGCTCATGGTAGAAAGAGAAAGCACGTGACGGTATGGATTGAGGAATGGGGGGCCCTGCTCTTGGACAGATGAAAGAAGCTCAAAGCCTTCAAATTGGAACTTGTCCCCCCCCCCTTGCCCCCCCCCCCCCGCAGCCTCTCCCTTCCCCAACTTGCAAATATTCCCTTTGGGTCTCTATCTCAGTGACTCCCACCACCATCATCAACCCAGCTGACCAAACCAGAAATTACGGTGACCTCTGTTAATTTCTCTTTCCTTTTCTTTTACATTCTCCTGGTCACAAAATCCAGCGGATTCCACCCAACAACCACTCCGAATTTGCCACTTCTCATTGCCAATGCCCTGCTCCTGGACTTGTCCTCTCTTGCCTGGTTTCCTGCCGCAGCCCCGGGCTGATCTTCTCGCCTCCCTAGTCCCAGCTCCACAGAGGAGACCCGGGAGCCTTTCTTGATGAGGTCACTCTCTGCTTAAAACGCTGTTACAGCTTCTGAGCAACCTCCTTTCCGTGGTTTATGAGGTCGATTTTTATCTCTGCAGCTTTAATGCCTCTCTCCATTCATCTGTTCCTACTAAGGAACAGGTCCTTAGTCTAAGGAGGTCCTTCTCCTCGTTTCTAGAAGACACTCTCAGGTCCCTGGGCCTCAGTTTAAGCCCAACTCACCGCTAAGCTTCCCCTCCCACATTCTTTTCATCCTCTGGGTCTTAGCTTACTTCCTCACGAAGCCTTCCGACGCCCAAGCTGAATATCCGCGGTGAAGCAGGAACTCCGGTTAGCTCCTCCCCGCCCCCCCCAGCTCTGTCGCCTGGTTAAATCTTGTCACCTGGTTAAGTTTGTCGCTCTTGGGTGGATTGGACACTTGGTTTCTTGCCCTCTCACCTTGCCCTTGGAGCGCCAGCCACTTCACCCCAGCTCTTTTTCCTGCTGGAAGATTCCCGCTGCTTCTGCCTCTCACCCCTCTCCCGCTGCCACCCGGGGTGGCCCCCTGAGCCCCAGGCAGGGTCAGATCTCCAGTTCGTTCCCTATGCTTGAGGCACAACGGACGTTTCCGCCTGGCACGGTCCGGGACTCTAGGGTCAGCTTATGTCATTCTCTGCTGGGCATCTGTTCCCATTTGCGGAACCTCCGCGCCAAGAGGGCCGACCGCGTCTCCCCGTGTCCCCCGGGCCCCCTGGCGCCAGGCGCGCAGCAGGTGCGCGGGCCAGGGGCAGCGTAGCGAGCACGTGTCCGGCGGGCGCGCGGGCCGCGCGGGAGGAAGGGCCCGCGCCCCTCCGCCTCCCCGGGACCCCGCGGCGCCCTCCGCTCCCCTGCGCGGCGCCGGAAGCGGCCGGCCGGCCCCCCCTCCCCGCGGCGCCCGCCGCCTTATCTCGGCGCCTCGGGGCCGCGGGAGGAGTCGCGGGCGCGCCCGGAGGGACGCGGCGGCGGCGGCGGCATGGGCCGGGGGCCCCGGGGCGCGGGCCGCCCGCCTCGCCGCCTGCTGCCGCTCCTGCTGCTGCTCGGCCTGGCGCGTGGCGCGAGCGGAGCGCAGGGCGCCGACGGTGAGTGCGGGCAAGGGACGGGCGCCGCGCAGGGGCGCCGGCTGGGCCCTCGACGACGCCGGGCGCGCCCCGGACGCTTCCCCGCCCCCGGGCTGGGCGGACGCGGAGCGAAGCCGGGGCGTGGAGCGCAGGTGGGGCCCCCTCCGGCCGTTGGGGCTCGGGAAGGCGGGCGCACGGACGGAGGAGGGGCTCCCCGCCCTCTCCCCGGGCCGCCGGGGGAACCTGTCGCTGGTGGCCTCGCCCTCGGCGCCTGGGGACCTGGGGCGAGGCGGGGGGTAGGCGAGAGCTCGAGCCCCGGGGCGGGGGGTGGGGGGTGGGGGGAGAGCCGCGCCCGACGTGGAAGGGCGTGGAAGGGCGTTCCGGCTGCACTGTCACGCTTCCTGCTCTGCTGTGGCTTTTGCACGACAAATGCTTGACCCCAAGCAATTTTCTTTCTACCTTTTAATTTTTTCACCTTAATGAAGAACCAGATGCTAATGTGGTGAGAAGTGCAAGGAAGTTTACAGGAATAAAGCATTCCTTAAACAAGTCATTCATTCAACACGTGGGCCTTGAATAGTTTCCCTGTGCAGGATGTGATGTCGCTGCGCTGGCCCTCACTGAGCTCATATTCTGGAGGCGACAGACAAGCAAATCCTCCATTTCCAGGCAATTGGAACGCATTTCACATGCGGTAGGAGTTACACAGAGGATTCGAACATGTAAGGGAGGTGGTATTTTACCCAAGTAATGGAAACGAATGCAGAATGCCCTAAGTGCTCCGAGTAGGAGAACGAGATTAATTCTAGATTAAATCTAGCTAGATTAATTCTGGTGGCATCATGGATGAGCTGACTGTTGAACTGGGCAAACAAGGCTTGGTATATTTGGGTCTGTGAAGGTGAGGAAAAGGCATCCCAGCTCATAGCAGAGGGTACAGTCAGCTCTGCATAAATATGTGTAGAATGAATGAAATCCACACAGAAGGGACAATGTGAGGAATCCCACAGAGGTGGGAAAGCACGGGGCCTGTGATTCAATTCATCCGGACCATAGAAGATGGGTGGGAAATGGAGGTGGAGAACAGATTGGATTAACCAGAAGTCAGAGTACCTCAACTGGCAGACCCAGGGATTTAGACTTAGCTGTTCCGGGGTGGTGGGAAGCCACTGGAAGTAATTTGAGGTTTTTGTACAGGGAGTAACATAAAAAGTGGGGATAAGAAAACCCTCCAGCTTTCTTAATAAAACCATTCATCCTAAGGTGGAAGGGAACTTCCAGAAGGGAGATAAGGAGATTTTGGGGCTACGACTCATGTTCCTCCAAATTCTCTTCACCTTTGGACTTTTCCCGTCACTGGTGGGTGTTTCTCTTGATAGCCTAACCTTCTGGGGTGGCCATTTTGGTACAGCAGGTATTCTGGTAGGCTTTCTAACTTCCTTCCTTGACTTGGTACACACGGCAGTGTGCAGAAAAACTTGTAGATGCTTGGGGCGTATTTCAGAATTTGTGTGAAGACTCTGTAGCCTGGGAAATGCTCCAATGTGGTCCCGTTGAATGACCGGGCTAAGATAGCGGAACAGAATTCCTAAGGTCATCCTTAAAGGCTACTGTCGGGTGAATTTTGGGGAATGGGAGTCAGGCTTGCCTGGTTAACCCTCCCCTCCCTATGTAGGCATCCTTCTTCATTTCCAGCCTTGAAGAACCTGGTTTTATTAAGGGCATGTTTCCTTCCGGTGGGCAGTGTGGGGCATGACTGGAGGCTCGGAACCACTGAGGAAGTTGGCATAGCTGGCCTAGAATTTCTCCGGAGTGGCCCCTCCGTAAAGACAGCAGGAGAAGGGGACTGAATGGAGATAATAAAGTAGAAATGGAACTGAAGGACTTCACGGACATTAAGGTGTGAGGGGACAGAAGAGAATGAGGACACAAAGGTTTGGGGACTGCGTGAACTTGGAATTATGGTTCTGTAGGAGGAGGAGGAAGATTTGGGAAGAAAGATACGTCATTTTGGATATCCTGAATTTGAGGTGATGTGAGAGCTTCTGGAGAGGTTGAACTCAATAGGGTGTTAAGACTATGTATGGATGGTAGGTGTGCTCCAGTGATGGAGACTACGTGGTCACTTGAAGCCTTTAGGTTTTTTTGTTTTTTTTTTAATGTTTTACTTATTTCTGAGAGAGAAAGACAGTGTGAGCAGGGGAGGGTCAGAGAGAGAGGGAGAGTCAGAATCTGAAGCAGGCTCCAGGCTGAGCTGGCTGTCAGCACAGAGCCCGACGCGGGGCTTGAACCCACGAACCGTGAGATCGTGACCTAAGCCAAAGTTGGACGCTTAACTGACTGAGCCACCCAGGTGCCCCGAAGTCTTGAGGTTAATAAGAGCAGAGCAGTGAGGGTGAGAACCAGATGCAGAGGGCAAAGTGAGTGCCTCATCGGCTCTTAAAGATACTCTTTAAAGAGGGGCGCCTGGGTGGTTCAGTTGGTTAAGTGTCCATCTTCGGCTCAGGTCATGATCTCATGGTTCGTGAGTTTGAGCATCGCATCGGACTCCGTGCAGACCGCTCAGAGCCTGGAGCCTGCTTCGGATTCTATGTGTCTGTCTCTTGCTCTGCCCCTCCCCTGCTTGCACTCTCTCTCTCTCAGAAAATAAACACTTAAAAATTTTTTTTTTAAAAAAGGATACTCTTCAAAAAAATTAGAAGGAGGGGTGTCTGGATGGCTCAGTGAGAGGAGCATGTGACTCTTGATCTTGGGGTTGTGAGTTCAAGACCCGCATGAGGTGTAGAGATTACTTAAATAAATAAAACTTAAAAAAAAAAAAAAGGAAGGAAAGAGAAGGTAGCATTCAGCTGGGCTGGTGGTAATGGTAAAGCAGACACAAGCACGTTTGAGAATGAAGGGCATCATTCAGTAGAGAAGGAGACACTGAAAATGCACAAATAAATGAGGTTTTTAATGGAGCATGTCAAAAAGCAAAAATTGGTCTACACGTGGGAAAGCTTAGTCTCTGAGAGGGGAGGGAAGGAGAAGAATGGAGAACTGCTCCCCCCCACCCCCCACCCCCCACCCCAGCTGTCAACTTAGCGAGTGCTATTCGTGTTTCAAAACCAGCCCCGTTGTCTTCCCTCCGGGGAAGCTGTCCAGTCCCCTTGCGGCGCCAGCACTGCCCTGCCTGTCCCCTGTGTCCCTGCTGTCTCTGTGTACCATACTCGTCCAGGGGACTCCCCCACTTGTGTACATATTTACATGGTACCCTTACTCTACACACCGATTCCGTTTTGCAGTGTAGCTCTTTACTAGACTAAGAGCTCCATGTGAGATTGTGGCCCATTTTGGGAGTTTGGTATGAAAGTAAAGGAAACCCACCCCTTCGAGAACAGACAAGGGCTCTTTATGTAGAGTTTGCTACAGCAAGAGAGCCAGCCTGCATCACTTACATCGATCAGACTCAAAACCAGGCAGAGGTGTATAAAAGCTTGAAGGGAAGGGGAAGGCTTCTGGTGTGCCCGAGTCAGAGGCCGTTGGCGTGGCGAGGCTGCGGTGGCTTCGCTAACAGCAGGCATTGCATGGGATTGGTTAGGGGAGTGTATCTGGCTTTCTCTGATTGGCCTACTTTGGAAGCTATGGCAGCAGTTAGGGAAGCCGGCTGTTATTGATGAAATCCTGACCAATTTGGGCCTCAGCTACAGAGGCTGTGGTTTGACTTCCTGGACTGATGGCTGCAGATTGTGGGTCAGACGTCTATTTTTGTCTATGGTCTGGCCATTGTCAACCAGTAGATTCAGTCTCACCGGTTACATGTGCTGAATTACACTGAATTGTTATCCGAGGTGCTTCAGGGAGGCGAGAGTGGAGGGACTGAGTGTGAGGGACGTGCGAGCCGCCCAGTTGGGAGAGCAGGAGGGTGTTGGTGGGTGGGTGCGCCAAGCCCAGGGGCTGGAAGGTTAAGAATGGGTGGGGAGGGGTGGAACCAGTTAGTCCTGTTTCTTAACCTTCTCCGGCAGGGCTCTGAGGCGGGAGTGGCTGGGGCCTTGTTGGCTCAGGACTGGCCAGGTTCGGAGGCCAGAAGGAGGCCAGGCAGAGGCCTTGAGAATCTAGGGGGGGCGCTGGGGGAGAGGCCTGGGGAAATTGTTCTTGGTCTGTAAAGTGCACATGATGTCACTAATCACGCATTTCCTAGGCCTGTTCTTCACCCTGTCATCCTGAGTCAGAGCCGCATAGTCACTCTTCATGGTGGGGGAAAGGAGAGCTGTTTGGGGGGAGGGAGGGAGTGGTTTGGAAGTGATCTGTGCTGACAGCTCAGAGCCTGGAGCCTGCTTCAGATTCTGTGTCTCCTTCTCTCTGCCCCTCCCCACTCTCTCTCTGTCTCTCACTCTCAAAAATAAACATAAAAAAAGAAAGAAAGAAAAAGAGCAGTTTTACATAATATGGAAGACTTGGAAATGCCCTTCCAGAGTTTTAGCTGGAAGTTTTAGTTTTAAGCTTGTTTATTTCCTCGGGTCCTTTGCAATGTGTCCACGTATCTCCACAAGTGATCCTGAGAGACAGGATCTCATGAAGCTTGTGCAAGTGGATTTGTTTGGTCTGACTGTGAATAGCGGGGCATTAGATTAAGATTTAAATGCAAGCACTCCATTGTGCTTTTAAACTACCTTCTTCCCTTGGCAGTGGACACAGTCTCTTCATTGTATTGTCAAAGCCCATGTGCTGTTATTTCATTTAAATTGTTGCTTGCATATTGCATACAGACCTAGGGGCTCCTGGGTGGCTCAACAGAGCTAAGCGTCAGACTCTTGATTTTGGCTCAGGTCATGATCTCATGGTTCAAGAGTTCAAGCCTTGTGTCGGGCTCTATGCTGATAGCATGGAACCTGCTTGGGATTCTCTCTCTCTCTCTCTCTCTCTCTCTCTCAAAATAAATAAACTTAAAAAAAACAACAACAACAACAGAGCGAGAGTGTCTTGCTCAGGCTACCACCCTTCATTCCATCCTGAGCTTTGGCCTACTTGGTGCATGGAAG